AAAGCCGCCCTTCCCAGCGGGACCGCCTCCAGCCTGGGGTAAGCACCGGCTCTGCGCCGCCTGTTACACGCCAGGCTTTAGCAGCAACGACAACAACGACAGCAAGCCCACCCTCTGGGCCTGGATCCCCCCGATCCTCAGGAAAACCTTGCCCCACGTTGTAAGCGTTAGGTCTGCGTGCCTCGGAACTCATTCTGGGAATACTGTCCCTGCTCGGAGCCTGGCGGCCGCACGCCTGCGAGGGGGGAGCAGCAGGAGGACAGCAGCCCTGTGAGATGGTGGCAGGTTCCCCCAAACCCCACCAAACGCTTGGTTGCATTCATTAGTTTCTGCGAAACAGTTACGCTCTTGCTGGCACTGGTTTAAGACTCGCTGCGTAACTTCGTGCGGAAGCCCTGCTAATCACACCAATTGCAACAGCCTACAAAGGCTGATGGTGCAGCTTTTCCACCTCAATACACACCAACAGCACTTCTAGTTTTTCTAAAGAAACATTTTTATAAACAACTTCGCAGAGTTACTTTTCACACCACCTGCGATTCACCCAGAACTGAGGCACAGCTATGATCTCTATCTACTGTTAATTCTCTCTCAATCAAAACACACACCCCCAACTAAGATATTTATTGTTTGCGATAATTATGCTTACTTTACATATAAAATAGGAGTTCAGGTGTTTTCCATTACCATGTTTTGCTACAAAATACGTCAGTAGTTAAAACAGAATATTTTTTATTTTAAGTTGCATGATATGGGATGACAAAGCTTAAAGGTAAGATATTCATACCCAAGTAACGATTTATAAAATGCATTTGTAGTTCATTGCCATAATGAAAACAGCTTGGAGCATTCATTTATGAATAATACTTTTTAAGGGTTTGTTTTTTTTTTCTTAAGGCAGAGTGGATGATTTTAGAATAAGTATTTTATTAGGTATTGTGACTGTCTTGACTTAATCGAGCCGCAAACTCTACTAGCGTTCTTGTAGGCCGCCCAGCCATGCCTTTGCGAAGATAGGGCACCTCATCTTTATTTGACATCACACCAGCTATATCTAAATGAGCCCAGTGAGAGGCAGTCACAAATTCCTTCAGGAACGCAGCAGCTGTGCATGCTCCTCCAGCTCTGTAGGAAGCAGAAAAATTTTATTGTTTCTAAAGCAACACCAACACCGCAAACGTTAAACAAATACGCTGAAGGAAAGGGGCACGTGACGGGTATTGATACATCTTACCTGCTATACTTCCCAATGTTACTCAGATCTGCAAGAGGACAGTCTGTTACTTGTTTCGTGTAATGTTCAAAAAGAGGCATTCTCCAAACTCTGTCTCCTGTCAAAATGCTGGCCTGAAAAAGAAACAGTGATAGTTTGGGCAATTTTTTTTTTTTTAAACTGCGTTTATAATCCCCAGTATCATGCATGCTTATTTTTGTTTAGCTTTGATCAGTCTAAAAATCTTCAGGTCAATATAATATTAGGTAACTGGAAATACACTGCAAGACAGAACAGTGAATCCTACTTTTTAGGTAGTGTTAGTCAAAACACAAAAATCTAAAGTTTGCCCTTTTTTTTTTTTCCCCAAATTTTTTTTTCCTGACCACACAAATCCTTCCCTTCATAGACTTCCTTTAGCCATCACACTTCAGCCACTCACGAGGCCTCTCTGAATTTCTGTCTCAGTGTTGTTAAGCAAGATCAATTATCTTTTTAAGATGAACTAATTACTGTCAGTAGCCCAGAGCTTATGCATATGCAGTAAGTTATCAGAAGATGCAGATCCTTGAGATGACTGTGCATGCTGTTTGCTGGATGATATTAAACCTCACTAAAGAGTAATTAATAGTCAAAATTAATTATTTTCAATTAAATACAGTACTAACACTATTCCTACAAGATTTCAAATTGTAATAACGTACATTTTAGATTTGCATGAGGACTTTCAGTAATGCACTAACTTTTCAATAACAGCAACTATTACTGAATTATTATTATTTTGATTTAATAATAATGCAGATGGCCTACCTCATAAAGGTGAGCCCAAAGCCAAGATGAGTTTGTGAACACTCCAGTCGCAGCAGACCCCAACGCGACATCCATGGCACCTACAGAAACACACCTTCAAGGTTATACAACAAAGGCAAAGATGGACCTGAGCTATTCCGCTGCATCCCGACTCCTCACAGAACTTTACATTTTTAATTCTCGTTATCAGTAATTTCTAAGTCTGTAAAAACTAAAGATTTTAGTACACTTGCATTTTTTAAAGTTTAAGCATTGTTAAAACTTTTATATAATTTAATAGGACAGACCTCTGCCCCCTTAGTTTTCCCCATTGCTAAATCCAGGTAATGGATTAGAGGCTATCGATTTTTTATTGAGGTGCTGGAGCGTGTTCAAAGAAGGGCAACAAGGCTGGTGAAGGGTCTGGAGCACAGGCCTTATGAGGAGCGGCTGAGGGAACTGGGGTTGTTTAGCCTGGAGAAGAGGAGGCTGAGGGGAGACCTTATCGCTCTCTACAACTACCTGAAAGGAGGTTGTAGCGAGGTGGGTGTTGGTCTCTTCTCCCATGTAGTTAGTGATAGGACTAGAGGAAATGGGCTCAAGCTGCGCCAGGGGAGGTTTAGGTTGGAAATTAGGAAAGATTTCTTCACAGAAAGGGTAGTCAAGCATTGGAACAGGCTGCCCAGAGAGGTGGTGGAGTCACCATCCCTGGAAGCATTCAAAAAAACGGGTAGATGTGGCACTTCGGACACTTTGGGCACTTTGGGACATGGTTTAGTCTATTCTACCCTTGACTGGTTTAGTGTGGACTTAGTAGTATAGGTTAATGGTTGGACTGGATGATCTTAAAGGTCTTTTCCAACCTAAATGATTCTATGATTCTATGAATTCATAAAAATTCTATTCTGTATCTCATGAAACTAGGAAGCTTGATGTTTCTTAGCAATATTTCTAATATAATGTATTCAGCAATAACAGTGTCTTCTCAAAAAAAAGAAAAAAATGTATTTTATTGTTTCCATATAGAAAATGAGTGGACTTTTTCCAATTTATAGACCTCTACAATTTTGAGCTGATACTTTCCCTTTTGTGAATTTCACTTGCATAGATTTTTTGCACAGCACATGTCAATTTACTTTAAATGAAAATAATCCTTATCAAAATACTAAACCGTGCCTAAACCAGAGGGATTACATACATATTCATTTGATGCCACAGAACTGCTTCCCTAATGCCAACACTCAATCCTCAGTGAGATAAAAAAAAAAAAAAAAGAAAAAAAAAAGAAAAAAAAAGTAGTTTAACAAAATGATATGTCAAAGAAATTTCTACAGGAGCTCGCCTCCTTCCTGCTTGTTGCCCAAGGATCCCAAACATGGAATAATCTATAGTGGGAGTAAATTCCTTCTATCCTGCCCTTTAAATGGGAATCATTTTATACAAGCCAACGATCTTAAAATCAGCTTCCCTTCTGTCTACTGACATTTTCTACAGCATTTGAACTGGTAAAACTGATGGAACGTAATTTAAAGTACTAGTAGAGAATATACAGAAAGATCATTATTTTACTTAGCATATTCATTAAGCAACACAGTGGACTCTGGTCTGAACTACTCTTCCATGTTTGCTCTCATTTCAGCTGCAGTCACTTAATCCATGACAGCTTGTTACTGCAGTTCATGAGATGCATACACAATACTGGTTTTAAATTCAAAATTATAACCTCATTCACATACAACTGTAGAGATTAAACAATTAAAGCACATTTTATTATGCCTGAAAGTATGCAAACTGCACATAACAAGAGCTACTTCAGTCAAACGAATTCCTGGGAAGATGATAATGGCTCTCCTAAGCTATTATTTAGAATCATGGAGACCTGAGCTAGCTCCCACAATGGAGGAACTGGTGCTGGGTGGGTCACAGCTCAGGCACTCAGCAAGCCGTTCGCAAAGAAGCTGTTCTGGCTCCAGCATGGCCAGTGCCATATGGAGCTGGCAGGACTCTTCCACAACCACGCCAGTATCTCTGCATCACACAGCCCCAGGAGCTGGAAAGGCTTGGCTCAGAAATAGAAGCACTGGGAAACATTGTGCAGAAATATCAAAGTCTGCGTAGATTTTCCTGCCCTTCTTAGTTCCGGCTCGGCTGGGCCGGCCCAACTTCATCTACATTGTGGAGCGTTTACCCTGCATGCCAATACCCTCTCCAGTCCTAGCTGTACAAGTTGTTAGAGCATAAACTGTGCTAGCTGTTCTCCTAGAACAGGTACAATCAGCTCAGTTGCTTTCAAATTCAGGTTGGCTTTACATAGTGCAACTAATCCACAGCCCAATTAATGAGAGTAACAAAGAACATTGCAAAATGACCTGGGAAGGGAGATTGCTTACCTGTTAATGTTGCAGCATTCACAATAGCCCTTGCATTAAAATTGTGGGCATAACAGAGAGCATCAGCTAACAGCAGTCTTCCTTCTGCATCTGTGTTATCTACCTTCAGGTGCAAAATTAGTAAAAACAGATTAACTACTGGAAACATCCCCTTCACTGACTTATTTCTTACATATTATCTTAAATAGCTGTCAGATTGTAAATACACTTGTCATAGGCCCTAGGCACTTCAGGCAACCAAAATTTACTCAAACTGAAAAAAAAAGAAAAAAGAAGGTATTGATAGGCAGTTATATTTGTGAAACAAAAGCATATCTGTAGCTGAGGTCAAGTCATCTTTCAGCACTGCAACCTCCTCTGCATGCTGAGCCTGTGTGCTGCTGGCTCCTCCGAAGAGCCTGGAGGCTGGCGCGGTGCCCCAGTGGAGCTGTCACCATTCCCAGCAAAGCCCCAGGAATCCCAGCGGCTGCTTCCGAGCACGCACAGAGATCTGGCCAGTGGAAACCAGAGGAGGAGACGGTGCCACAGAGAAACACGTATGCATACCTGGAAACACTTCCTTGTTATACTGCTTTCTCTTTGGATATTGAAACTTTTTCCCTCTTTTCAAAAAACACCTCCCCCTCAAAAAAAAAAAAACCGAACCCTTACCCCCCCCAACCCAACAGCGTCTTTGCTTCTTTCCCCTTTCAGGGAAAATTCATGATGCATTCCGCTAGATTAATTGCATGATGTGCTCTAAGCTACTAACACTATCTTGCAAATTTCTCCATGGTGGGGGAATATGTGCCCAGTCTTTTCGCTCAAAGCAGAAGGCAACTGAACTCAGTTTTGGGAGAACCACCTCAAGGAACTGGAAGGTGCAGCAAGTCAAAGATGGCAGAATCACAGAAATCCAGAGAAATATTAAGCCGTGTACTTCTGCAGGAAATCAATGGTCTACAGCACAACGACTTTCAGTACCATTTAATCTATTAGATGAGTATGGAATAGTTTGGATTAAATATGAAATACGTATTTTGGGTGCTGATTTGGCAAGCTCCTTTGAGCCAACAGCTGCTATGACTCAGAGTTCTGATTGTACAGAGCAGCTTGGCAGGGTAAAGACCTTGGTTATGTCTGCCAATACTCTTATTTCTTACTCCAGATAGCAGGGAAGTGTCCTGAAGGGTCTGCTGGAAGCGTTTAATGTTATTCATTCTGACTGAAAACCTATATTTATGAGCATTGTAACAACCTCTTGTGCTAAAACAAGATTTTCTAGTATGTTCAGTAAATGACCATACTTTTCAGCTTTTCCTAGCAATTTATAAAATGTCTAATCTCTTCAATCTATATTTATATTTGAAAGAATCCTATGATAGCAAATTCTAATTAATAACATGCTGCTTACATTTTTAAAAACAGCACATTTGCACTACTTATCTTTTTAAAGGGTCTTTTCAAACATGTACTCTGACTGCAGTCATATAACTTGATTGATTAAACCAATTCACTAAAAGTATTCAAAATCCAAGTTTCACACACCTACCTGTATTGTTTTTCCATTCTTGGCTCTAACTACATCCCCAGGCTTGTTTGCCTTACCACTGGGCATATTTTCACAGAGGGGTGCCAAACCTCAGAGAGAAAAATAAAAGTGCGTTACTAGTTTCTTTCTCAGAAACAATGTAGAAAAAACACCTTGAAAAAACCCGAACACCTCCTTAAGAAAACAGCACTATTCTCATCTTGATTTTAGGCTCAAAATCCAAATTTTCCTGGTTACTGAAAGACACGTGGTCCAGTTTTCAATCAGGAAAATGTCTCTGCATGTTGCACCACCACATTCTCTCACCTACACTATTTTACCACTAGGATTTAGTGGTAAAAATTCTACTTTGTACCCAGACAAGTGAGATCAGAGGAGCAACAAATACCATCTTATGTCTTCCATATATGAATAATTAGTCACACATAAAGGGATTTCTTTCTTTCTGAAATTAAAAGCTTCTCAAATTAATACTCTGAGCCATTCAAGCTCTGCTCATTGTAAACAGTGTGTAATGTCAAGAGGGGTCCAAGGACTCGCCATCGAACTCCAACCATAAGAAAAGCAAATAGAGATGAGCGAAGAAGAGGGTCAGCGTCAAAATTCCACCTATGAATGGGGTAATAGGATGAAACGCACTCCACCATTCCTAGGGAAAACCTGCTCCTGGGGCACAAGGAATAAGCGAATCTTCAGCAGAATTTTGCAGGGCGCCCTTCAGCTCCGCGGGCGCAGTCCCCCGGGCCGCGCACCCCCAGCGAGGGTGCCCCCAGGCGCGT